TTTTTTTGGTTTTTCTCCGGTACCGGGAACCGAACTCACGACCTTGCGCTTGCCAGGCAGGCGCTTTGCCGCTGAGCTAAATCCCCAGCCCCAAATTAACAAGTTTTAAAGGAGTTTTGTCAAGCGTTTGTTTCATTCTCTCCCCATTTCATACAGATGAAGAAGCAAAGACTTACAGAGGTATTAAACTTGCTCCCAACTGATTGCCATCAGCTAGCCAGTTACACAACAGATGCTCAGATGTGGGCAGTCAGACTCCGGAGCCCAAGCCCTGGCCCAACACACATTCTTCTGTCCAGCAACTTTTCTTTTAAATGTATCATCATGGGAAAGCAAAGGTTTTCTGCACTGTAGACTGCAAGCCACAGACATCAGAGCAGGCCATCTGGATAGGTTAGGATTCAAAGTGTCTAGTCCAGCGCTTGACACATGTAAAGAGGCTGAAAAGTTGGTAGTCCTGGGGCCAGTGTGCGACCACTCACCAAAGTTTCCAAGAAAGGGCTAAAAGCAAGGTTTCAGCCTTTGCTCCCTCTAGGCTTGGGCCCTACGGGAAAGCTTTTAGCGACCAGGTTTGTGTTTGAACCCCGTCAACAAATACATCTTGAGCAGCTGTTGCTCAGACTCTGGAGGGGAAAGTGTATGAGAGGTCTAAGGACTTGATAGCACTCAGTGGAAAGTCATGGGCTTTGGAGTCACTCACACTGCGTTCAGACTGTAACTGTCCAGCTCCCAGGTTTATGGCCATTGGCTTAAAGCTTAACATATCTGAGCCTCCGTCTCTTCATCTGTAACCAGATAATTATACAGAGACATACAAAGATAATTACAGTGAAAGTTTCTGGCATGTACTAGGCCACTCATAAATGACAACACAGCTTATTAATATAATCGATCAATTATATACTGAGTACACATTATTTATTCCAGAAATATTCATCTAGTTCCTCTGTGTCTGGGCAGTGTGTGCAATGAGAAAGCAATAGGCATCAGACAGAGTCCCCACACGCAGGTGCTTAGTCTCATTCACTAGACCAAGTGCATGCAATAGCCAACAGCCTTCCAGATTACATGCAATTGAGTTGGCCAATTGTAATCGATCTTTTAGAAAACTTAAGTGCACTTGAATATTCTCATTTTATTTACACCAAAGGGATTCCCAGTATTTCATGATTTTTGTTTCTTTTCATGCATTTAAGATTTCCTTCTTTCTTTCCTTCTTTCCTCTTTTCTTTCTTTTTTTTTTTTTGTGTTGTCATTTTTGTTTTTTGAGACAGGACCTTGCTATATAGTTTAGGCTGGGCTTGAACTCACTCTGTAGCCCAGACTGGGCTTAAAATGGTATTCCTCCCACCTCAGCTTCCTGGTTACTATATTACAGGTGTGCACCATCATACTTGGCTCGCGCGCACGAGCGTGTGTGTGTGTGTGTGTGTGTGTGTGTGTGTGCATGTGTTTGTGTGATACTGGGGACTGAATCTAGGGCCTTCTACTCAGCTACATCCCCAGCCCTTTTTAAAATTTTTTTTACTTTGAAACAGGATGTTGCTAAATTGCTAAGTTGCCCAGGCTGCGCTTAAATTTGCAGGCCTCCTGCCTCAGCCTCACAGAGTGCTGGAATTACAGGCATACCCCACCATACCTGACTCTGAGAAATTTTTTTCAAAGACAAAAGGACAGAGAACATTAAACAAATGCAGTACCCATGTATTATCACCAAGATGAAAACAATTAACATTTTGTCATATTTCTTCAGTCTTGTTTAAGTTAAGGAAATAAAACATTTCACATAAAGCTGATATTTCTCGTCCTATATTCCCATTCTTTTCCTTGTTCAGAATTTCATAAGGGGTCTTCAATCACTTCTCCATTATACATTATCTTTAAACAATACATAACATTGGCTTGCATGTTTTAATTTATATAATGGGATCCTTTTATGAAAATATGCTTTTTCTCTGTATATTTCTTTTTTTTTTTTTTTTTTTTTGGTTTTTCTCCGGTACTGGGAACCGAACTCACGACCTTGCGCTTGCCAGGCAGGCGCTTTGCCACTGAGCTAAATCCCCAGCCCCTTTCTCTGTATATTTCTGAGAATAATCCTGTTGATTGATGTAGCTATTGGTGCATTATTTCCAAAAGTAGAAGAGTAATTCATTGTTTTATGTAAATTTCTCTGGATAGACATTTGCTTTATTAAGAGTTTTATGCTGTTGTAAATGATGCAAAAAAAAATCTTTGCATGTATTTCCATGTGCACTTTATAGTTTTTGCAGATGATCACCTAAGAAGTGAAATTTACAATCTTTGCCAGTATTTTAAAAACTGTTACACATTTAAAGATTTCTGGTATTCCATACTGAAAGTGGACAGTTATCAGTCAAGTTGAAATTGGGGGCTTTTTTGGTACATTTCTTGATCTCTGTAACCAGATCTCTTTTATTTTACAGAAATTGATGACCCTAAGAAAATATGTGTGGGTCCTTCAGACATACCCTGCCAAAGCCAGCAGAAGCAGAGTGGTGATAGCGAATCAGTCAGTCACTTAGCACAACCAAGAAGTGACAGGGAATATGAGGGCCCCAGGTACGTAGAAGGGTTGCCACCATCAGGTAAGGCAAGTGGGATAATCACTCCCTTGTACAGGCGAGAAGACGAAGGCTCATGGAGACCAGATAGCCCACTCACTGTCTGAGAACTGTTAAATTGTGGAGTCTGACTGGCCGGCGCTGCTTCTGTGGCACAACTAACTACATGCTGTAAAACTTTAATGCTAGACCTGGAGAAAGACACATCTGTAATTCTTGATGATACTATTAAAAGTATTTTTACTAGGGCACAAAATGCAGTTTTTAAGAATGCTATAAGTAATATTGGGTGAGGTCTTAAAAGCTATCCTAAAAAGGATTAGGAGGACGAAGAAAAAGAGGAGTTGGAGAAAAAGAAAGGAAAGGAAGGAAAAGGAAGAGAGATGGGAGAAGGAGAAAAAAGAGAAGAGGTAAGGAGGTAAGGAGAGAACGGGGACTTAAAATAAGTACCGGGCATATATCAGGATGTAGAATTTTAGACATAAATGAGTATAGTAATGATATTACTTGGGATATACTTTATAATAAATTTCTTGTTCATTTTTTTTATTTTGACAGAATGACTAAACAGTTCCTACGAAAACTCTGTAAGCAGCACAAGCTTTACCATACCCCAGCACTGAATGATGTGCTGTATTTACACTTCAAAGGTAAGGACTTCAGAGAGGGGACACTTAACATCAGTTGGAAAGACCTTAGTGCTATCAAAAACTGCTTGCAGAGGTCATCCTTAGTACTCAGATTATATTTAAGTGGAAATGTCAGAGTTTAGGGAAGATTTATGAAAAAATAGTATTTCTATTCAGGAAAAAATCATGTTTGACTAGAATTCACAAGCTGGGTCACTGGCTTACGGGTATCAAGCAAATATATGGGTATCTTTTATTTTATGTTGTCTAAGAGTATACGATTTTTCCAAAGCAGAAAATTAGTTTGTGAATGCTCTGGGCTTATGAAGGATTGAAGAGCGGTGTAGAAAGCAAAGGAGAAGGCTCTTGGGGTACCACCCAGAAGGAGAAGTAGGAACAGCAGCACCCGTCAGGCTCAGGCTTGGTGTCTGGTATCACATCTCAATCGAAGTGCAGCGTTATGGGCAGGGCTCTTCCTACCGGTGATAAAGAAGGGCCAGAGCTCCCAGGCTGTGCTGAGCTTGGTGGCTAACCTGCTGCATCAGTCAGTTTTTTGTTCATTTGTTTGTTCAGCAAGTATTTGCCAAGAGCCTTCTGTGAACCGGGGACCATGCTCGGTGCCAAGAATGCAGAAATGGACGTGGCACAGATGCCTTAGGTGGCTTAGGGGTTGGGCCGGCAACAGGAGGAAGGTGCTCAGCCAGAGAGGTGCAGGCCAGGTCTCTGCAGCACAGGCTTCTTGGGGTTTGGATGACTTCTTACTGATCTCCTCACCTCCAAAACTGTCTACCCAGCATCTAAGTGTAGCAGTGGGTAAAGTGACCTGGGAGGACAGGTCCCTGGACACTGACAGCGATGGTGGGGAACAAGACCCAGCAAGTTAGGCCAAGTAGGAAGAGTCAGGCAGGTAGAGGAGCCCAGGGAGAGATGTCTGCATTACTTACCATTATTGCATAAGAAGTAATCCTGAAACTTAGCAAATTAAAACACAAGTTCATTAGCTCACACTTTTTCTGAGGGCCACCAGTCCAGGAGTGATTAGCTGGGTGCTTCTGGCTTGGACTCGCGAGGCTGTAGTGGGACAATCAGCTGGCGTCTGCCATCTGAAGCCCTGCTGGGGCTGGAGAATCCCATCCTCAACACTGCAGGGGGGAAAAGGTAAATCAGAGGCATCGATTTGTTTGGACCTTACTTCTATTCTGATTCAGACAATACACAGTTGAAATAGAAGGCAAGAGACATGAACAGTGATGGGTTATTTGATCACACTGAAGAATTATTGCTTAAATGTCACCATGACAAGTGGGTAATTCTGGCAGAAAGACCTGTCCTTTCCAGAGAAGCCAGCAAAACTCCTCATGATTCATCGAAGTTGGCTCTGCTTGGCTAGGTGTGACCAGCTCCAAATGAATCACTGGACTCTGGCTACCCAGAGACCCTTGGGGCAGTAGTAGGAGAGCAATGGTTGGTCAAAGAAAAGTTGTCACTGGATGAGACGTGGATGGCTTGTAGGTAGGTGTCTCAGTGCCATCAGGGCTGCTATAGATGCTTGGAAGTCCGAGGTCAAAGGTCTGGTAAATTTGGTGTCCAGCGAGGGCCCCTTTCTGGCTTACAGATGGAGCCCACTGTTTGGGTTCCCACATGGTGTGGGGGTGAGGGAGCTCTCAGAAGCCTCTTATAAGTGCACTAATCCCATTTGTGAGGGTGGGCTCCATGCTCAGGACCCAATCACCTTCTGGAGCCTCCTACTTCCTACTACTGTCATATCAAGGATTCAGATTTCAACATATGGCCAGGTGTGGTGATGCCGGCCTGTAATCCCAGCATTCTAGGAGGCTGAGGCAAGAAGATCATGAGTTTGAGTCCAGCCTAGGCAATTTAGCAGCTTAATGTGACCCTGTCTCAAAAAACTAAAACAAAATGGCTAGGGATCTAAGTCAGTATGAAGGCTCTGTGTTCAGTCCTCAGTGCCAGAAAAAGAGATTTCAACAGATGATTTTTTTTTGGTACCGGGAATCAAACTCACAACCTCATGCTTGCCAGGCAGGCACTGTACCACTGAGCTATATCCGCAACCCTCAACACATGACTTCTGAGGTAACACAAATGTTCATTCCCTAACTACAGACAAAAACAAAGGTGACCTTGAGCCCTCTCCCCAGGGTTTGACTGCATTGAGAACCTAGAGGAGTACACGGGTCTGCGCTGTCTCTGGCTGGAGTGCAATGGAATACAGAAAATCCAGAACCTAGAGGCCCAAACTGAACTGCGCTGCCTCTTCCTGCAAGTGAATTTGATTCATAAAATCGAGAACCTGGAACCTCTGCAGAAACTGGATGCTCTGAACCTCAGTAACAATTATATCAAGACCATTGAGAACCTCTGTAAGAGCCTCAGCCGCTTTTCTGTCTGCCTTGCAGCCATCTCCCTGGGGGATGAAAGATCTCTAGGGGTTTATATTGTCGGTGAGAACCGTTTCAGCTCTTGGTCTCTCACTTGTGCTGTGCTCCCTTCCAGCATGCCTTCCGGTCCTGAACACACTACAGATCGCCCACAACCACCTGGAGACAGTGGAAGACATCCAGCACCTAAAGGAATGTTTAAACCTTTGTGTCCTTGACCTTTCCCACAATAAGTTGAGTGACCCAGAGATCCTGAGCATCCTCGAAAGCATACCTGATTTGGTAAAAACAAAACAAAACAAAAAACCAACTTGCATTGTTTTATGTTCTTTAAACACCAATCTTACTTCATTCCTCCTTCCTACCCTCCCTTGCTTCTATCCTCCTTTCCTTTCTTTTTGCTTCCTTGTTTACCTTCTTTCCTCTTTGTGTTTTTAGCTGGAGCATCCTAAAGATCAGCTGTCATGTCACCCACAAATATTTCAGAGTGTGTCTCTGACAGATAGGGATTACTAAGTATAATCACAATAACACTATTATATTTAAAATATATTGACCACATTTAATATCTAGGCCATGTTCAATTTTTCCCATTTATCTTAAAAATGTGTTTTGACAGTTGGGTTGCTGAAATCCAAACTAAAAGTAGGTGTTGTCATTGCGTTACTTGTCAGCTTGGTTCCTTTTGGTCTGTGACAACTTTCCTTCCCTCTTTTCCCCTCCTGTCATTTATTTGTCAGAGCAATTAGGGACTTCATCCAGCAGTTTCCCACATTCTGGTGTTGGTTGATTGCATCCTCATGGTGTCATTTGACATGTTCTGCTGTCCCTAGTATTTTCCATTAAAATGATGGAGTCAGAGATTTAATGAGCTCCTGGCTCAGTGTTCTCTACTGCACCATGCTGGTGGTACCTACTGTCTACTTGCTTCTACATGCCCCCAGTGAGCCAGCCCTTCCAACCAGGCCCCACCTCCAAATGTGAGACTTTTGGAGAACATTTTAGATGTAAAGCCCCCAGCACATGGGTTCCTATATCCTTTTGTCTGAACTCCAATGGCCTTTGACCAAAAAAAAAAGTTGCCACTAGTGCTGAGATTACAGGTATGCATCACCATGCCTGGCTTATGCATGAAAAATATTTAATGGCTATACACAAACATTTAAAATGATTCATTCACTCTTAACCATTTGCCTTCTTTGAGCTTCTTTGAACAAGTGAGGAGGTTGGCATTTGCCGATGGGGGAGGATACCAGGCCACTGCTGGGCCTTCCTCTTTCCTGACCTCACCTCAGACCCCATGAGAAAGGCCCTCTGTGCCACCGTGCTCACAGTGAATAAGGACATTTTCTATTCTTTCCCTCGGTCCCTGCTCCTTGTCTGTCACCACGGTGAATGTCTTCTTAAAATAGGCCCTAGCTGGGAAGAAAAGAAAACCATCAATGAGACTGAGATGCACTTCGGTACAAGAGATTGGGCAAAAACTAATAAAATAAAAAAAATATTTTAAAATAATGGCTGAAAAAAAAAAAAAAGAATCACTACACTTGGACAAGGCTCAGGAAATGTCTCCCAGTATTGTTCAGGAAGGATGCTGAGGTCTGAGCTCTAAAGCTCAAGTAGAGAAGGCAGCTCAATGACCTGGACAGTTCTAATGGCACCAGAACAACAAAACCTTCTTTTTTTGTTTTGTTTTGTTTTTGTTTTTTTTGGGTTTTTCTCTGGTACCGGGAACCGAACTCACAGCCTTGCACTTGCCAGGCAGGTGCTTTTGCCGCTGAGCTAAGTCCCCAGCCCCAACAAAACCTTCTGATGTCTCTAATCAGTGCACCAGAACAGGACACTAACACTTCCGTTTTGCTCAAGAACACATATTGTACCGAGCTGCATTGAGTCCCGCACAGGAGTTGTACTGGACCAGCATGTGTACATTAACCCCATCTGTTCTCAGCTATTAGTTTGGCTCTGCTTGTTTGCTTTCCAGCGTGTGCTGAACCTGATGGGAAACCCCGTTATTAAGCAAATTGCTAATTACCGAAGGACGGTCACTGTGCGACTGAAACACTTGACTTATCTGGATGACAGGCCAGTTTTTCCAAAGGACAGGTAAGCAGGGAGAAGCCTCTGGCTCGTATTTGGATATTTAATAGTTGAGTAAGCATACTATTAGGCTTTTAAAATTTCTGATTTTTGTGCATTTTCACACACCATTATATATTCTTTGGACACAGGTTTAATGGCCACTATCTGCCTGTAATAGAATCCGAGCACTCATTTATAGAATCTATATTCTTTTGATAACTGTCCTTGTAGGCAGTTTTTTTTAACCTCACTGCTACAGATTTCCTTGGGATGGAATTGTGGGTGTAGTATCCCCAGGTTAATGTGGCTTGAAGCCAGGTGTGGTAGCACACGCCTGTAATCCTAGCACTCTAGGAGGCCCAGGCAGGAGGATCAAAAGTTCAGACCCAGCATGGACAACTTAGAGACTTAGCAAGACACTGTCAAAATTAAAAAAACAAAAACAGAAACAAAAAACACTGGGGATGTAGCTCCGTGCAAAAACCCTGGGTTCACTGAAGTTAATGTCTAGTAACACACACACACACACACACACACACACACACACACGGTCTGAGACTTTTAAAAAGATCTTCTAGTTTCTAATTGTTCTTTAGACAGTTTATATAGCAGTTTACAATCTCACCAGACATAGCCTGTGAAAAGAATCTTTGCCAAGTTACTTGATGAGTGAAAATGGTATCTCATCATTTTAAATTTGCGTTTTTGGATATCTGTTGAGGCTGGTCATTTTTCCATCCCTCTTTTATGAATACTTTGTTCATGACTCCTTCCCAGCGCCCTTGTTTAAAACGAGCTTTTGTTTGCTTGCTTGTTTTGCCGTATTGGGGATTAGACCCAGGGCCTCACTAATGGTAGGTAAGCACTCTACCACTGAGCTATATCCCCATCCAAGCCAGGCAGGTGGCACAAGCTTGTAATCCCAACATTGAGGGGGCTGAGGCAGGACTGCCATGACTTTGAGGCTAGCCTGGGCTACATATGAGTTCAAGGCCAGCTTCAACTATACATCAAGACCCTGTCTCAAATAAGACAGAACAAAGCAGCCACATATACATAAATACATCCCCTGCCCTTTAAAAGTTTTTTTATCTTTATACAAAATCTATGTTACTCAGGTTGGCCTTGTACTTGTAATCCTCCTTCTGTGCCTCTTGAGTAGCAGTTATTGTCACTACTTCTACTTGTGGGTTTTTTTTTTCTTTTCCTTTTCTTTCCACCTTCTTCCCCTCCCCCTCCCCCTCCCCCTCTCCGTCTTCCTCCTCCTCCTCGTCCTCCTCCTCCTCCTCCTTCTTCTTCTTCTTCTTCTTTCTTTTTTTTTTTTTGAGACAGCATCTCAATATGTAGTTCAGGCCAGCCTTGAATTTGTGGCTGTCCTCCTGCCTCAGTCTCCCTCATGCTGTGGTTATGGGTGTGTGCCACTACACCTGGCCTTGTGTTTTTAACTTACTTTTGATTTAGGTCAGTAGTAATTCTAACTTAGATTAAAACTATGTGTTAACATGGAGTGCTTGAGGGGAAATAGAATACAAATTTTGAATCATATGACATTTCAAAAGAAATGTAGCTTGTAATATGTTTCTGAACTCACAAATTTAAACCAAACTAACAAAGAGCTCAAGTCGAAGTTAGAGTCTTCTTCTCTGCTTCCACTTTTCTTACCTGCGGAGAAATCCAGAGATTGGCCATTCTCTGGGTTCTGGGCTGGGCAGCCTGGCAGGCTTCCCAGCTGGACTCCTAGCAGGTATCGGGCTCTTAGCAGTGAACCAAAGAGCAGCACCCTGAGGTTCTGGCTGCACCCCAGCCAGGGGAGACACATGTGAGTTCAGGGCAGACATTGATATGACCAGGGTAGCACCGGCTAGCATCCTGTCCAGCCCCATCCAGCACCCCACACTGTCCTTACGGCTGCAGGTGTGTTCTCCCTGACCTCTGGAGGGACCTCAGGACCTGCCACCCATCCTGTGTGGTACTTTCTCTGTCCCTTGTTGTCTTGGGATGCATGGGGCACTGGCGCAGACTCACTTCCTCCTCAAAAGCTGTTCCCCCGCCCCAGCATACTGCAGGGCAACCCCACCAAGGAGCCCTGGGCGCACGTCAGGGTCACTGTGGCCCCAACACCTATCTAGCATGGTTCCTGGTGCATGGCAGACTCTGCCTGGGTCCGCTGGGAGATAAGAGGCTGAGACCAGAACAGAGTCTATTCCTATAGCGCCTTCTGTCTGGGGGCTTATGATCTTTCTCTGCTACACTGTATGTCAAAACCCTATTTCCAAATACATTCTGTACCTTTGATTTATCCAGTGGGAATCTGCTCTCTAAAGTTAAGCCTCCTGTGTTTAAGCCATTGGATTAAAAAAAAACATTTATTGAGCTGTACCTCATTCGCTATCTAATTCACCCATTTAAATGCAATGGGTCTCTGTGTATTTGCAGAATGCTAGTCATGCCGCAGCAAGTTTCAGGGTATTTCATCACCCTGAAACACCATCTGCATTAGCTGTCACTCCCCATTCCTTCCTCCTCCAGCCCTGGTGACCCACAGTCCACTGTGTGCGCGGATTTGCCTGCTCTGGACGCTCCATATGGATGGAGTCAGTGTGTGGCCTTTGTGTCCGGTGCCTGTCACACAGCATCTTGTTGTCAAGTCTCACCCACGGTGCAGCCTGCACCTATGCTCAATCCTTTTTTATTGCTGTATAACATTCCATCCTGACCTGCCACGGGCTGTTTTTCCATCCAGTTTTGGAAATTTAGGTTTTCTGAGTTGTGGCTATTGTGACTAATGCTGTTGTGCAGTGTTTGTGCAGATGTAGGTTTGTTCTTTTCGGTATATAGAAAGGAGTGGAATTGCCAGGTCAAATGGGAACTCTATGCTTGACTTTTGAGGAACCACCAAATGATGTCCCAAAGCAGCTGCACCCGCGTCCCACTCCTCCCAGCAGTGTGCTCAGGGTCCAGCTTCTCCACATCCTCACCAAAACACGCCTTCGCCCCTCTTCTTGCTCCGCCCTCAGGGGCAGCATGAAGTGGTGTCTCATCGTGGGTTTGATCTGCATTTCCCTGGTGGCTAACGACAAGCACCCTTTTAGTGGCAATGTGTATGTATTCTTTGGGAAAATGACTGTTCGGTTTCTTTGCTCAGGTTTTAAAACGAATAGACTCTTTCTGAGAGCAGCTATAGGTGGATGGAAAAGTTCAGCACAGAGTATGAAGAGTTCCTTCTACACCTCCCCGTCGCCATCCGCCCGTCACTAACACCCGACAGTCATGTGCTACACTTGGTGTAGAGAGGCCCATGTTTTATTACTCACTGCACTCCACGGTGTGCTTATGGGGTCATGCTTCGGGGTATACAAATGCACAGGCACATGTGCCCCAGTGCAGTACCACACAGAGTAGTTTCATGGCCCTGAAAGTCCCTTGAAAATCCATCTCATAGCCCCAGCCCAGCCCCGGGCACCACAGTCCTTTAATGTCGCCATAACTGTGCTTTTCCAGATGCCATGGAGCTGGGATCTTACAGCATGTTGTCTTTTCTTTTCTTTTTTTTTTGGCCTTTTTTATTTTGAGGCAGGATCTCACCATGCAGTTCAGCCTGGCCTTGTAGCCCACGCTGGTCTTGAACTTCCAACAGTCTTCTGCCTCAGCCTCCTGAGTGCTGGAATTACAGGCATGCACCACCATGCCCGGCATGTTGTCTTTTCATACTGGCTTCCTCCACTTACCAGCAGCTATGTGGTTTGATAGCTTACTTCTTTTTGTTGTTGAATAATACTGTCTTGTCTACTGTATACCATGGTTTGTCCTTTTGCCTATAGAGGGACACCTAGGTTGCTTCTAATTTTTGCCAATTAGACTAAAACTGCTGTCAACATCCACATGCAGGTTTTTATGTGGATATAAGTTCCCAAATCATTTGTCTTTTGGGCCTTTTCTCTTGATTTTGAAGGAACCGTACAAGTCTGGTCAGACAGCATCCTAGGGGGAATTTACCTTTACATCTCCCTGCTTCTGTTGTATTTTCTGCACACAGAGCATGTGCAGAGGCCTGGGCCCGAGGAGGGTACGCGGCGGAGAAGGAGGAGAGAGAGCTCTGGGAGAGCAGAGAGCGGAAGAAGATTGCAGACAGCATCGAAGCCCTGGCCATGATCAAGCAGCGGGCAGAGGCGCGCAGGAGAGAGAAAGAAGGCCGAGAGGGAGGTATGTGCTGGCATTCCAGCAGCTCCATGTAGATCAGGCCAGCCTGGGTCATCAAATTCAGTCGCTTATGTGTGGGATTTTTTTTGTTGTTTTTGAGACACGGTCTTACTATGCAGTTCAGGATGCCCTTGAGTTCACTGTGTAGTCCAGGCTGGCCTTGAACTTGTGGTGATCCTCCTGCCTCCGCCTTCTGGGTGCTAAGATTACAGGTATTCGCCACGTCTTCTGGTTTCTGCCGTAAGGTTCCAGATGAACAGCTGGATGGAGCCATGCCCACAGCAAGGTGTGGGGGAAGGAGCTCAGGGCCGTCAAGCCTGTCCCTCTGCCACCTCCTTGTGCCACAATCCAGAGGCGCCAGGCCCCAGAGCTCAGGGCTTTCCACGGTGGATGATGACACCTCCATCCTGTTGCCTCCCCTCCCTGGAGAACGGCGTGGGGGAGCCTGCAACCCCAAGCTTCTATCCCTCATCCCTGGCTGCTCGTTCTCTGAGCAGCCCCCACCAGATGCCCACCGAGGTTGCTTCATGGGAAAGTAGAAGGGTCCCGGGGCGCAGCGCCAGGAACAGGGTCCAACCCTGAGCAGTGAGCAGAAGACCCTCCCGGGCCTGTCTGCAAGGCATTCAGACCCTGGGACTCCAGCCTCTTTTCCATATCAAACCCTCATGTCATCAGCTTAGGACAGACTGATTTGTTATCACAGGTCTGGAGGTGAAACCCCTGAGTGGGTCTCACGGGACTCAGACCAAGGTATCTAGGGATTCTGCTTCTTCAGGAAGCTCTAGGGAGAGTCTTGTCTCTTCCAGCTGTGGTGGCCACCTCCTCCTTACATAACCCAGGCTGGCCGGGAACCCTCCTACCTCAGTCTCCCGAGTGCTGGGATTATGGGCATGTGCTACCACACCTAGTTGGGTTTTTTTAGACAGTGTTGCTCAGGCACTAAGTTGCCTTCGCTGGGCTTGAACTTGTGACCCTCCTGCCTCAGCTTCCCGAGGCTGAGATTACAGAGGTGGGTCACCATCCCCAGCCCTCTAGGCTCTTCCTTTCCTGCGTGCCTGGCAGCCCAGGGTGCTCAGCTCAGAAGCGCACCACCTTGTGTTCTCCCTGATGTCCCACGCTCACCTTTGACCTCCCTCATTTAGGGTTGGTGTCACCGGCAGACGACAGGGACAGGCAGGATGAGCCTCCCGTGGCAGGGGACACGCAGCAGAAGATGGAGCTGTTTGTGAAGGACAGCTTTGCGGCCAAGGATGAGCTGTTCCCGGACGAGCCCAGCGGGGGAGAGGCGGGACCGGTGGAAGTCGGCAGAAAGGCAGAAAGCCGGGCACCTGCAGGGAGCCTGTCTGCTCCGAACCCGGTGCCCCTGGAAGGTAATTCCGCAAGCGAGGGTCGTACCTGGAGCCTGAGCCTCACCCTTCTATTGCTGTTACTACACGACAGAGCACATAAGCTACTCCCAAGTTCTAGGCAGCATTGCTTAACAGAAATGCAGGAGCCACTGAGAAGAGATCTTGTAGTAACCATGTTAAATAAATAAAAAATAAAAACATGTAAAGCTATTGGCAATATACAGCGTAATAAAAATGAATGGCATAAATAAGAAATTATTATAGTAGCACTAGGCATAGTGGCACACAACTGTAATCCCAGCACTTGGGAGGCTGAGGCAGGAGAATCATTTGAGAGTATGAGGCCAACCTGGGCTACATAGTTAGACTATCTCAAAACCACAAAAACAATTACAGCAAAAGACACACTGCCATGAATCCTCTTCAGAATCTCCAAACACACTTATCATTCTTGTCACCTTCTGAAGCAGCTGTGGAAGTCCTCTTCCATGAGTGTCTTTAGGAGGTGTGATCAAGGGCCGGGGATGTAGCTCAGTGGCACAAGTGCCTGCCTAGCAAACGCCAGGTCCTGAGTTTGATCCCCGGTACCAAAAAAAAAAAAAAAAAAAAAAAAAAAAAAAAAAGGAAAACAAATGCTGCTGCTCAGTGCCACGCAGAGGAAAGGCGGCTCCTAAAAACATGACTGTGTTCTCACCTCCCTCATTCGTCAGATCTGGTTCTGTGTGACTTCCGGCTCGGCCCCAAAGCCAGAGCGACCCTGAAAGGTGAACAATGTGAGTGGACTCAGAACATCAAGGCATCCATGACAGCACAAGTAAAGCCGTGAGAAGACTCTTCAGAGTGGAGAGAACGATGGGATAAATGCGTTCGAAGGGAGGGAGAGCATTCTCAGACTAATAACATGTCTTTTACTGTCGAGAAAGTAAACTTTCACCATATTTTTTAAAATCATACTTTATATACCTTCCTCCTCCCAGTACTGAGGATTCAGCCCAACGTTATAACACTGAATTACATCTCCAGCCTCCTTCATTTTTTTTTTTTTTTTTTTTTGAGACAGGGTCTTGCTATGTAGTTCAGGCTGGCCTTGGTTCACTGTGGCCCAGGCTGGCCCGGAATTCTCCTCCTGCTCCACTCCTGAATGCTGGGATTACAGAACTTTGCCACCATGCCCGGCCCCCATTTTTTTTTTTTTAATTTTGAGACAAGGTCTTGCTAAATTGCTGAGTTGCTCCAACTCATGATCCTCCTGCCTCAGCCTCCCAGAGTGCTGGGGGTGCAGGCTTGTGCCACCATGCCCCATCTTAGTGCTTCCATGAATTCAGATTTATTAGCCACCTCATGATCAATAACATCTGAGGAATCTCAGCATGGGATCTTTTAGAGGAACAGGTATGTGGAAATGCAAATGCCCATGGGGACAGGCCATGACGTTCCTGTGCGTGTGTGGATGCGTGCGTGTGTGCTGGTGTCCTGTCAGAAATTGGAGTCCGCGGTTCCCCGATGCTGGGACTAAGCACTAGGTGAGTCAGAAAAGAAGAGAAGGAATATAGCAAGGGGCCAGGTTGGCAGAGGCCCAGCTGCAGAGCACAGAGGGCAGAGTGACAGCTGCTGCCACCAGGGACAGAACCAGCTCCTGGGAGCCTGGCTCAGCCTCCTCCAGTGCTGGCTGCCACTCCTCTCCTGTGGGACTCGGGGCTTCCGTGTCCATCCAGAAACTCACCATGTTTCGATTTTGCCTTAGGGAACACCCCATGGTCCAACCACTCCAGGCTTCTGGAACCCCTTCTCCCTGGCAGGGCCGTGTTTCCCCTACTGTTTTCCAGGATGGAGACCGACAGGCCTTGGGGCTTGGGACTTCTTGCCCTCTTAGCTGTAGCTTAGCTGCTGTCACACATGGATTTTGCAGGGCTCGGGTATCGCCCAGGAGCCTTGGGAGGGAGAGGCTGCAATCGGTGCTTCCTCATTGGAACAAGTCCTGGACCCTCAGGCTGGGAGGTGCCCTCTGTGGAAGGTGCGCTGGTGACGAAGGTGCAGGCCGGCTGCCCTCTCCAGGTTCCTGCTCCATGCCCGGATGGCAGCTCCTCTTGGGCCTGACCTCCAGGTCACAGCGGGGAGGGGCAGCCTCCTCTGGCCTTCTCTCCCCCAGGGGCTCGGGGTGTCTTGTCCGGCCTCAGCTGTGATCCCTGTGCTTTGGCTCACAGGCTGGCTGTTGGCACCCAGGCCCTCAGGTGTAACACCGGGACCAACGGCTGCTGCTTCTGTTCCTCAGAGTCGACCTCCGGGGTGGTGGCTGCTGAAGGCTCGTTGGCTACAGAGCCGCACAGGACCGGAACCGAGGACGCAGAAGCCATGAACCAGGGGACTGAGGAGAAGCTCGTCATCGCGGTACGGGCATACTCAGCCTTGCAGAACAGTCAGCCTGCACCTCTGTGATCCTCGCCACCTTGTGTGGCCCTTGGGTGGCAGGCAGGGCCCCACAGGTCCTGCACACACTGAGACCTTCCCCGGTGGAGCTGGCCCGGGCAGCCCCCATCGAGCTGTCTGCCCAGCTCTAGACTTGCTTTCCCCAGAGAAGGCCATCACAAAGCACTCAGCCCATTGGCTGCTCCCAGAGCCCTGCTCAGTCGCCAGGGCCTCTCTGAGCCTCGGCCCTAGCCGGGCAGCTTCACACTGGCCCGGCATTGTTCTGGCTTCCCGTTGGCTCCTTGCTCTCCAGATGTCCCTGCACCGAGCCCCCTCTCTCAGGCCTGTGGAGCGAATGTCAGATCCCATCCTCAAGCACCACTCCTTCCTGGAGCTCTGCTCATTTTGGTGGTAGTCACATTGGCCTAGAGACAGGCCACTGTGGAAGCCACATATTGGTCTGTGGCCCTGACGGGGCACGACTGAGGGAAGTGCTTTTCAGCATGTCGCCTCACCCTAGTGGACAGCTGGACCCCCTCTCCTTCACCACCTCTGTTAAACTTCTCAACTGGTGTTTACCCCAAATCTGAACATTTCCCAACTCAGTGTTAGGCTGATCATGGTCAGTATTCTCAATGGGTTTCTAGTTTTCTGGTTGTACAGATAAGAAATAGAATTGGACAACTAATAGCTTAACATTTGAGAACTGACTATAAGTAGCCAATGTTATCTGAGTTCTTTCCCTCTATGTGGCATTGGTCTAAGGATGATTTGTATTGACTGATACAACCCTTCTAATTACTCTAAGAGGTATATACTATTATCCCAATTTTACAGATGGTAAAGTTGAGATAGAGAAGTTAAACAGTGTTCCTAGAGCCACACAGCTGAGAACCAGCATGGGGATTTCTGCAGGGTTCACACATCTAATCACTGTGCCTCCTCCCCAGCGTGATGGCTAGTTGCTTTAGATGAAGATATGAAACAAATGCACAAACACATACCAAAACTAGGAGGTCCCACCAGTTTTGGGGAGGTACAAAACAGCCCACATAAGGCGCTAGGGCTCATTTGTGCACAGGTACTTTTGATTTGGGTACCATTATTTTTCTCAAGATGAGCTAAAAACTGTATCTCTAAAAATAAAATGAAGATGTGGCGATGCTTCGACCCTGTCACAGGCTGCAAGCTCTCGCTTTCCTAGATTAGATCTGATGCTTGGAAGGGCAGTGCTGGGCCTGTGACGAGCGTGTGCGGGAGCGATGTCTCTCTCCTCTGTGCCGGGCTGGCCTGTACCTCAGGCTCCCTGTGCACCGTGTTTCCGTGTACCCCGCCTCCCTGGTGACCTATGGCTCATTGGCTCTTGCAGGACCTGCCTGACTTAGAAGATGTTGATGACACAGGCGCGGCTCTGGAAGACCTGGACAAGGTTATCCGTATACGTTTGTCCTGTCATCAGACTGAATTCCACTTCACGCTTGTCAGTTAGCACAATTTTCTCTTGAAAAGTCCTATGATCAAAGAAAGCACTGCATACACTTACATTTTTGCCTTAATGACGGAATTGTAGCTGCTCCTTCCGGCTTGTTTTAAGGTTTTATAATCCACTCGGCTTTTCTTGCACATGCATTTACCGCTATTTGTAATGGCTGTGCACTGAACACAATTACTGGAAAACATCTTTTCTCCCTCTGGTGCATTTACATGTACATCTTAGGAATGTGTTTGACTATAGCTCCTGAAGGAAGGAAAAAGAAAAAGGAAGAGGGAATGAGTGGGTAGGGGCCATGGGCATCTTCCTACTTCACCTGGCCACCCTCCCTCAGGCACTGTCCGGAGCCCATGGGCCCGAGGGAGAGGAAGCCTTGGACATCATCTTCGCGTGACCTGTTGCTAGCAAAGGAAATAGGCACTTGCGGCCACGGTTACTGTGGAGGCTCTGGTGTCCAAGGCAGAGTTCTAGAGAGTTGTGCCCAGGGCTGGGCTACACATAGCCAAAGGCCACCCGGGAGGGTATCGTGTAGGGGCCAGGCCGGGTGGGCAGTGCAGTGTGGAGTCCTGGGGGGGCGCAGGTAGGCTGCAGTGCTCAGCAGCAGGTGCTGGCCAAGGACCGCCCGTCCTAAGGCTGCTCCAGACGGGCACTGTCCAGTGTGTCCCCTGCGATCACTGCCGTCTGGCCACACAACAGCTGGTGACATTTGGCGTAAAAGCAGCATCAGCAGAGTGCGTTTTTAGAGTGGCTGTTGCAAAAACAGTGTTGGGACGTACCTATTTCCCCACTAGGAGCTGTGCTCTCCGAAGATCGAGGCCCTCTCAAGCGGGAGTGAGGACAGTGGCACCGAACTGGATGACGCGGCCCTCCTTGGGTCAGCACACTCACCCGTAGGTGCCCTTTCACGCATATTCGCAGTCTCTAGGGACCCTGGAAAGAAGGCCAAGGCACCTTTCACAGACATTTTAAAGAAAGAAGTGATGAGGGACTTGGAAATCGAAAGTCAAGACCCCAAGTCCCCGAGACCACTCATTCAGGAGCTCAGTGACGACAAGCCCTCGGGCCAAGGACCAGCATCCCCCTGCTGGACAGACTTGGAGGACAGGGACAGGGACAGTGACCTGCCTGCAACCTCTTCCCCAGGTGAAGCGCCTATCCCTGGATGGTTGGGGTGAGAGGGGGAACCTCAGGTTCGACAGGCATTTGTGACAGGCCATGTGACGCTCTGAAGTCCAGGACTCTGGTCTCTGGCCATACCACCCTGAACACACCTGATGTCTGATCTCAGAAGCTAAGCAGGGTCGGGCCTGGTTAGTACTTGGATGGGTGTCCAGGACTCTGAAACGGGAATCAGCGCTCCAGGTCCTGTGGTCACACAGCACTCAGCACTGTGGGGGGCTACAGAACCTGCACTGTCCCCTCCTCATGATCCCAGCCCTAGCCTTTCCAAACCCAGGCTTCTAAGGGAAGGAGGGGGCTGTGGACAGCCTGGTGGGGGTCGGGGGATAGGACTGGGACAAAACAAGGTGCTAGCTGGCGTGGTGCGGCTACTCCAGCAGCAGAATCCCTGTGCCTGATACGCTGAGCAGGAACAGCACCCAGAGGCCACACCTCGTGCTGGTGGCTGGCGCTGGGGGTGGCTTGTGAAGCCAGCGAGCACCCACGGAGAACGAGCCGAGCACTTCTGCTGATACCCAGATTGGGGTGTTGGGCGCGGCTGTCCCTACTCCCACCCCATGCCCGAGGTGCCCTCCTCACAGAAGGGGAAGAGGGGAGGGGGAAGACGGGAGGGAGCTGGCTGCACTCCCCAGCTCCCAGCAGTACGGAGTCTTTTCTAACCCTAGGAGACAGAGCTGAAAAGGACAAAACACAGCCCGAGGCAGCACCTGAGGAGCATGGCGTGAGGGCAGGCCAGGGGGATGCAGGACTCGCTTTGGACTGAATCCAAGGCCCCCTCCACCGCACCGGCTGTGACAGAGGGGGACAGGTCACCTCTTCCTCTCAGAGTGCTGCTGCTTGCTAAGTATGCTCTGGGGCTTTGGCCGTGACAGCTGCCCACGTGCCCCATCACCTTTGTACCCTCAGCCTTTAAGGCACATCCCTGTGCCCAGAACCTCGGTCTCCCTGTCACCTGTACAGTAACTGTGGGACTATAAACCCCTCATCAGCATGATAAAAACATTTAACATCAGTGAGTTCCTGGAACGGCGCTTGTGTAAGCCGTGTGCAATCCCTCCAGTCTGTCAGCCATGCTGAGGAACAACCGTTTCGCTCCCAGTGGTTCACACCCTAGTGCCGGTGCAACCTTAAGCAAGAGGGGACACCATGCAGCCTGCGAACACGACTGCTCCAACTCAGGTTCGGCTGCCAGGTTTATTCCACTTGGTAAGCCAGGTGCCCAAGGGTCCCCCTCCACAGACAGACAGGACCACTTGCGATACAAGCTGGCCAACGGCTGCAGCTGCCAGCCTGCTCTGCAGCCCGTGAGGTGCCGCCAGGCAGTGGCTCCAGGGCCTTGCGTCACCAGGTCAGACGCAGGGCAGGTACCACTGCCCCAATTTCCCGAAGTCCAGGAGATGCTGGGAGACACAGGGAGCCCTGTCTCCCACACAGCCCTTGCTGTCTCCAGGAAAGAACACCGGCAACTCTGGTTCAGGCCAGCCCCTCTCCCTGGTGGCTTCTGGACCTGTTTGCAGGCAGATATGCAAAACACAGACTGCTGCTTTGTGCTGTTCTGTCATCTCCGCTCCTGGCTCCAGCTGCTTGTTTTTGGGTCTCCCATAGTTCCCACAGTGTTCAGGAGGCAGGAAGCTCTGCACCATGAAGTTGTTTCCAGGGAAGACACTGATGGTCCATGGTGGAGGGGCTCAGCGAGAAGAGAACTCTGGGTACCCTTAGAAGCCCATGCGCGGCCTCTTCCGGTGGGGCTGAGAGCCAGGGGTGGGCAGCCTGGAGGGTGTGGCTTGGGTGCGAGAGGCCCGGGAAGGGGACATAGGCACATGTCCCGGGGTGGGGGTGCCTTTTGGAAGTGGCAGCTCTGCCATGTAGTCCCGGAGGGTCTGCTGCCTCTCTGAGTGGACACCCTGAACCCACAGCTGCTGAGCTGACTCCTGGGAGTACGGGGTGACAGGGGGCTGGACCCTGGCCTCTGAGGGGGTCCGCTCTAGGCTGGGAGGGAGGCTGCTGGTATTTGGGAGGTCCAAGCAACTGGTGAGCGAAGAGAAGGTGCTGGACAGCTGAGTCCGGCGCTTGGGCCGCTTGGCCTGCTTCCCTGGCTCGGAGGCCATGCCCTGCTGTTTCCTCCACCATGCAGATGCCCGGCCCTCCCAGGCCTCCTCCAAACGCTCACTGAGCTCATCCTGCAGGCCTGGCTCGGGGGCGGGGGGCAGCTCTGCTTGGGGGAGAAGGCCCAGGTCCCTCTGCTGCAGGAGCCGCCCTCCAGCCATGGCCTCCCGCAGAACTTGAGGCACTTTCTCCTCCAACTCCCGGGGCTCCAGGCGGCCCAGCAAGCGGCGGTGGGAAAAGGTGGGTGCAGCCCACACAGGGGATGCAGGTGGCACCTGCAGCAGGGCCTCCAGCCAACGGCTGCAGCAGGCAGTGGCCCTGGCAGTCCAGGAGGGTATGGGCCTCTGGTCCACAGGAGGCACTGTTGCCCTGGGTGCATGGCAGTCGGGTCTGGAGTCGCTGGGAGGCCCCGAATCTTGGTGGAGGCTGGAGGCTGCTTGGAGGGTGAGGTGCTGGTAGAAGATGTCTCCAGCTGCTGAGAGCTGGAAAAGCCACACTGCTGGCGTGGAGGCACAGGGCAGGAAGGCAGAGGCCAGACCTGTGGAAGGAATGATGATGACCCAGACCCGCCAGGCCTGCAGCCCCACATCCCACACTAGCTCCCATCTGCACACCTATGGTTGGTGCTTCTAGTCGCTCCTGCAGCTGTTTCTGGCTCTTGGGCTCCAGGAGGGGAAACGCGGAGAGTGAGTCGGCTGGGGAGGGTAGAGACTGGGGAGGCCCTGCCAGTTGGGGTGCGGAGGCCTCCTTTCCTGCAGGAAGCAGAGTTGAAGCCCAGGCCCAGGCCCAGGCCCAGGCCCAGGCCCAGGCCCCCTTCTCTTGGCCCTGCCCATCTTCGCCTCACCTGTGATATGCAGCAGCTGCACCTGTCCACCTAGGCCGCCCAGGAACAGGGGATGTGGGGCACCAGGGCTGGCTGGAGGCAGCAGGCGGGCCAGCAGGGCCGGGGAGGGGAGGTCGTGGTTCCACTTCAGCATCGGCACCAGGGGCAGGCGTTCATCCACCACGTAGAGCGAAAACTGGGGCAGAGAAGGATGTGAGTGGAGGGGCTTGGCTAAGAATAGCACAGCTGTACAGTGGTCCTTCCCAGGGCCTGGGCTCTCAGGACTTCTGCAAACCCCAGGGGGACAGCACTCTAAAAGGGTTGGTCCTGCCTTGAACAGAAGGTGCCTCCTGAGCAGGTAGAGGGACGGAGGGATGGAAGAACAGCACAGCCAGAAGAAGGGGTCTCTGAAGAGGTGTACAAGAGTCTCTTCAGACAGAAGCCACCCAGCCTTCTGGCACCTGTGCCCTGGCCTGTGTTTGCGACATACGTAATATCTGAGACCCTTGGTTGGGGGCAGACCTTCAAGTGACCTCAGCACTCCTCCCCTGCTTCCACACACTTTAGGACCCATAGGGCAGACGTCCTGGCCCTAGAACCTCGCCTTGTCTCCAACTGCTGGCCCCCCTTGGAGCGAACTAGACCATGCCCAAGAGGCCTTGCTCGCTTGCCCACAGGCTCAGGTTCCGTGGGGATATCGGGAGAAAGGGGGATTTAGTCACCTGGGTACAGATGAGATGCAGAGTGGGGGGCAGTGATTCAGGGCTGGACGGCCCCAGGTACTGAGTGAGCAGCACACGTTCCCCTTTCTGGCAGGAGGCCTCAGCCCCTGCCCGGAAAAGCAGCAGACCACATCCGGGGGGACCCTGGGGAGAACACAGGGTCAGCTTCTCCAACACTCGCTGGTTCTGCTGCCCCTCAGCACCCGGCCCATACCTGAGCGTCGATCATCTTCACTCCAGTGCGGTCACCCACTGTCAGCACCCGCGGGTGGGTGGTGAAGTCTGCCCAACGCCAGGGAGAAGGGTCCCGGAACACGAGGGTCTCTGTGTCCTTGTAGACCTGCTGCAGCCTGGGGGAGACAGGGAGGCGGTGGGCTGATGGCTGGAGGCAGGGTGTGTCTCGAGGGTCAGACAGAAGACCAGGCAGGGCATGCTGGAGAGGGAGTGTGGGCCACAGCTGTGGCGGAGGTGACTGGGGGAAGGGCATTACCCATCCTGGGGGTTCCACAGACAGACGGCTCCAGAACGGCTGCAGAGGGCCAGCTCCCCGGGGAGGTGAGGGCTACAGGCACAGAGTCATTAGTGGCAGCAGGGCGCCCTCTGGCTAGGCCTGCCTTCCCAGCGCCCAGCCCAACACCCCTCACCTGAGGCTGATCCCCGTGGCCCCCTTCTCGACCCGCAGCACCTGCAGAGGGGCCGGCCGCCGCCGCTTCCCCATCTTCCACACGGCACAGTGGTAGTCAGAGCGCACAGCCAGCAGTGCTGAGGAGGGATGGAGGAGTCAGGCTCGGGGGGCCAGGCTGCAGACCCGTCACAGAGGGAGGTGGGTGCCAAGGGCCTTACTTTCCCCTTGGACGGTGCTGGTCACCACCTGCCGCACAGGTCCCTGCAGGTGGATGCACCCAGGATCCCCAAGGACCTGGGGGTCACTGCCTGAAGTCAGACTGACCTCCTGGAAACCTGAGGCTCTGGCTAAGGAAAAGGGATGAGCTCTGGCAACTGCAAGCCCCAACTTTCTTGCCCTTTCCCTCCCTGATAAGAAAGGATACGCAGCCTGTCTAGGGTGCCACCAGCTGGGTAGACCAGTTGTCCAACCTGCAGGGTCCTTCCAGGGATCCAGGCCAGGGCACCTCCAGTGAAGGCCTCATCCAGGAGCAGCTGCTCCCATCGTGTGGCCAGCTCCTCGTGCAGCAGCCCCCCCAGCAGGTGTGACACTGACTTGCCCAGCACTGGGCCTCCGACGATGGAGAAGCGGCGTAGTCGGTGGCTGAGATAAGCCCAGGGACACCTGGGGACGACAGCAGAGGCTCACTGGGGCAGTGATGGGGTCAGGGTCCGGGGACCATCCTAAGGGAGGGTCAGGTGCAGAGCACATGCTCCTCATCTACCTAGTTTCCTTCTTTGGGAGCCGCCCACCCTGTTCCCTCACCCCAGGCACAGTCACAGGACCCAGACCTGGGCGAGCTCTCCACCACCCCTGCACAGCGATTGGTTCACAGCTGGGCGTGAGACCCCTGCCAGGCCAACCAAAGTCCTCCTTGGGACTTTTGGTGCCTCAGGAAGGACACTGACTCTTTCCTTGGAATCCTAAGCCATCTTGCTGCCACGTGACAACAGCTTTTCTAGGAATTAAGCCAGGCAGAGGGAAGCAATGAGAAAATAAAGAGACAGAGCCCTGTCGACATTATTCTAACACCAGGATGTAGCCATGCATGGAGTCCACAGGCTGAAACCCCTTTTCCCTTAGGCCAGCGGGAAAGAGTGTGGCTCACATGGCTGGACTGGGAAGGAATAGGATAGGAAACCTGGGCCCATGTCCCAGCTCCTTCCACATCCTGTCACCAGCTAGGCCTATCTGGCCTGTCCTTTCCCTCTAGCCACTTGCCCCCAGGGCTGGTGTCCGCCAAGGTCCTGTAGCAGCCTCTTCGCGCTGACCACTGTCATCTTCTTGGAGCGGTTCTGCATGGAAAGGCCCTGTCAGGCTCGCATAGCCTGGAATCACCAGTGAGGTGGACGGGATGGGACGGGAAGTGAGGGCTCTTCTCTGGTCCAGCAGGGATTACTCACCCGGCCTCCCTCCAGTCTGAAATTCTCCAGCATCATCTTCCCCAGGGGCGCAAAGGCTATGTCCCCGTGATCCCACAGGAATCTGCTGAGCTGGGAAAGGAGCAGTTGGTCACTACGCACAGCTCCAGGCCACGCAGCGACCTCCCCCCGTGGGACCACTCACCTGTTCAGTGACGTCCAGCATGACCTGGGGCTGCCTCCGGTAGTGAAAACCGCCTCGGAAAAGGAGGTCCTGCGCGGTCACACCAGGGTCCCAGGGATCTGAGGGAAGAGGGGGAGTGAGGGAACGGGCCAGGAGGCACAGGCCGCCTCTGGGGCTAGGAAAGGTCGCAGGCACGGAGGGATGGGCTTGAGCGGTGACAGGGAGCACAGAGGCCCGAGTGCCTTACCGAGACAGGGAGGCAGCAGTGGGAGGGGCCCAGGCATTGCTGGCTCCCAGAGCAGGGCCTTGGCCAAGTGAGGAACTGCATTCTGGAGGGAACAAAACCACCATGGTGAAAAGAACTCCTCACAACAACCCTGCAAAGTCGGTATGAGGGTCAGTGTCATTTCACTGATGCAGAAACTGAGGCATAGGAAGCCTGTCACTTGCCCAGATGACAACTGATAAACAGAGGAGCTGGCATTTGAACCCAGGCAGCCAGAGCCCAGAGTCTGGGCCTTGCTCAGAGCCATAAGCACACGGTGTAGTCATTCTCCCCAAGGATCTGTTCACGTGCTCGCTCATCCTGACCCAGTCCACGAGGGCAGGGATCGCCTGACCCATCCCAACTTATTCACACTGTGCATCACTGGCACAGTTGGGCTGCTGAACCTAAAGGGATCTGAGTCTTGGGGAGAGAGAGACAGGCACGAGGGAGCCACAGCTCCCACTGAGTGGTCCCTCTATGGATGGAGGGCAGCCCACGCCTCCAAGGGAGAGGGTCTGTCGTGGCCTGGGATTAGCACTCTTGCAGATGCTGCACCACCCTGTACCACGCCAGCGCCAGCAGGTGTGACTGCTAACAACAGGATCCAGTAACAGTGCCCACCTTGGAGCCGCCAGGCCCCGCCTTCCGTCCTCACCTTGCAGTTCTGGGGTGGAGACTCTGGCAGGGTCAGGGCATCTCTCCAGCTGCACATAAAGGACAGGTCGGGGACATCACTCACACCAAGGGGGCCGGTCATAAACAGTGAGGGGCGGAGACAGCTGGGGAAGTCCATCCTGGGAAACAGTACCTCGTGTCACACCGGCCTTCTCTGCATGCTTGACACAGCAAATGACTCCCAGAGCTCCTAGGGAAAGCACAAAACACACTAAGACAGGGATATTTTCTTTGAGGAAGCAGTTACTAAAACACAAATGAATACGCAGCCTAATGTGGAGAACGACATTCTTTGATTAGAATGCATTGAGAACACAATGATTTGTTTAACCTTGAGTTTACGATCCTCCTGTTTCAGCCTCTTGAGTGTGTCTGGGATTACATGTGGAAAAGGATAATCCTTTGATTACCCTTGCTAAAAAAAAAAAAAAAAAAAAATCGTTTTGTATCCACCCAGTACTAGCTACACCCTAGGTTCTTGCTCAATAAAAGGTGACTGAAATTGGTAGGCGGGGACAGTCCTAGCGGCGGCAGTCCTAGAGGCAGCAGTCCGAGAGCCCCTGATCCCAGACTTTTGCCTCTCTTCGTTTTCTAGTCTCTCTTTACTTTTCTCATTCATCCACAGGCACCTCGTTCACGGACCGGTTCACCCTGGAGAGATAGGGATGAGCAGCCCCACAGCCTAATGCCCAGGAGCAGTAAATATTACAGAAAAAACAATCACCCACCCACGCAGCATGAGGGAACCGTTGGTGCTAGGCAAGGGGACAGTTCCAGTAATGGGAACTGGGGAGAGCCTGAACCCAGTGAGGGAGGCAGCCACGCACACCCCAGGAGATATTCCAGGTAGATCGGCCTGCAAATGCCAAAGTCCTAGGGCAGAAACATGTGGCAAACAGCTAGGTCGTCACAGAATGAATAAGGAGAGTGGGGCTGGCTTATATCAGAGCTTGTACGTATATAATTACACCGTGCAGACTACACTCGTTAGGCTGCGCCTCAGCCTCTCTGAGTCTCATTCATCTGTCTCCCCAGAGTAAAGCACAGTGCTTACCAGAAAATGCACCCTGTGTTGAATAAAAACAAATTTACATCAAAGAGCTCTGCTAAACACAAAACCCTCTAGGAATTAACAGCTCCATCACTCCTCTTTCATTACAAAGATAGCAGAATCACTGAACACCCGCATCTGCTAGACATGGTGCTCAATGCTTTGTTCTTCCAGTGCCCATATTTTGGGCTTCAGGATCCTAAGGGTCAGGAAGCAGTAACTCACTCAAGTGCAACAGCAGGGACTGCCAGAGCCTGATCCTCATCGGATTCGGAGCCGGTGCTGTGAACCACTACTCTCCCATGCACCCAGGAGCAAACGCCAGCATTAGTGAGCAAAAACCTTTCCCCGTGGAATTCCTGCTGCATTTTATCAGGTTTTTCCATAACCTCTGTCCAGCCATGACATGCCATACACAGTTCCAGTAATTATTTGCCAAGAGAAGAATATTCATTCCTCAGGGCATGCACCATCTTGTTCTAACTGGACACAAGTGCCGCAATTACAACACTGACACATGCCCCTTACAAAAGGGACGTGTATTCTTTCCCCCACTACAGTGTGAGCTCTTTGAGGGCAGGGACTGCATCAGATTCATCCCCGAGTCCCTGGTTGGCCGTTGCTGTCGCTTTCCTTTCCCTACCAGGGGGGAACAGCAGCAGGGATGGAGGAAGTGACAGCAAATCGTTGTGAAAAATGTGGCTTTCACAGGACTGACAGTATCTATACCTCCCAGAGAAGGCTGCATCCCTGATGAACTGCAAGATGCACAGAAAAGGTCTTCAGCTGCCTCTGGGCTCTAAGCACACTGGAGGCTCTTCAGGCTCTTCCTTGCCTTGCTATTTCTCGCCACAGGACCTTTGCCCATTCTGTCTGTCCTTAGGAGCGCCAGCACCTTCCCCCTACAATCCTTGAGTTAAGGATGCCTCTCTGTGTTGGTTTGAGGGATAGTTTTTGCAAGTGTCCAATATAATATAGGACACATAGTTCATAAGATTATTTACAATAGTCACCCAAAGAATGATATACAAAAGAGTGCAAGAAATCTGTCCACACACTATAGACCAGGAATCCAGCAGAGGGCCTGGATCCTCGCTAATGCCCTGCATGAGTCCAGCTGAATACCTAGAGCCCATAAAAATGCCTTCTACGAATCCAACTAGAAGCCCAGAGCCCATGACAATGTCTCATGCAGGCCTGTTTCACGGATCTGCACTGGGAAGGCCAAAGGTCAGTGATGGAATCTAGAAAGTCTGTGCCAGCGGGATGAAGAATCTGTGCTAGCAAGCTGAGGAATCTACACTGGAGCCAGGAAGCGATGCTCAAAGTAAGAACCAGAGCTCCCCCGAAAGGTACCACAGCCATCGTCGGCAACAGTGAGGTCCTGAGCTCCTCCAATGGTGAAGACAGCTGAGTTCCCATCAGGAAAGCCAACGCAGCAAGCTTCTTCAGGAGACTGAGCTGTGTATCTTCTTCCCCTCCAGAGCCAGGAAGTGCTGCTGAAGTGAGGACCAGAGCTCCCATAAAATGAACCAAAGCTATTCTCAGTGCCAACAAGGCCCCAAGCTCCTTGGAGGATGAAAACAGCCGAGTTCAGCAGGAAAGCCAGCATGACGAGCTCCTCCAAGAGAACCAACAGCTCGTTACAGCTTCTGCCAGCTCCCCACAGCCTTTCTCTGCTTCCAGCAGCCTCCCTTCTTCTTCTCCAGTTCTGTCTCTTGTGCTGCTGGCAACAGTCCCCAGGTGGGCCTCCCACACCCAGCACCACGCTGACTCAGTCCAGCTGGGGGTTATAAGTTGACCACCAGTTGTCAATCCACTACACTCTCCCAGTTCCCCAATACTTTCCTCCTGAGGCAAGGTAGAAGAAATAAAGAGGCAGAAACAAGACAAGGAAAATCATAACTTAAAAACTGTATTTTAAAAAACCTGCAGTTTCAGGACCCAAGCAAAGTGGCCCAAGGTTGTAATTTTTTGCCCTTCCAGGATGCTCACTCCTAAATTCCTAAGCCTTAAAAAAATACAACAGGCCCATGCTTTGTTTTACTACAGATCCATAAATTCCATGACCTCCATCCTCAAGAACACATAAATATCCCCAGCCTGATGGTAATGCACCTCACCCCTCAAGAGCCTACACTCCCTTCTAAGTGCTCTTCTTTAATTTTGCTCAGTAAACCTATCCATTCCTCTCAAAGACCAAGTCTTGAAATGCTTTTCCATGATAAGGCAAGAACCTACGCTGTGGGTGGGGAAAGTTAAGGTCCCCACTTCCTCTTTAGGGGAACCTCCTAGTACTACAGACAGGCAAGTCAGGCAGAAGACAGCAGGCAGCTAGGGAGCGACTGGGCCCAAGGTAGAGTGAGGACGACCAGGCCTTGGTCAGAGAAGCAGGAGCGTGAGGTTGAGAGTTAATAAGAACCACATGGACAACTAAGTCCAAGGACATAACAATTGAGTTGATGACTGCCACTATGACAACTTCTGCTGTACATGTCTAGAAAACATTTTTGCCTTACTTTCTTCTTTTAATAAACCACTTAGATAGGATAGAGGCTAAGAGGTACCTGCAGACATATGCTTGCTACATACCCCGACTCCAGTTCTAGTCCTAGGGTTGACTTGCAGTGGTCATTTTGGTACAAAAACTCCTAGACAAAGTGTCCCGTGGCACTTTGGGGGCACCCTCCCAACTAATAGGAGCTAATTTTCTTTTCTTTTCTTTTTTTTTTTTTTGTTGGTTTTTTTTGTGTGTGTGTGACAGGGTCTCACTATACAGTTCAGGATGGTCTTGAGCTCACTATGTAGCCCAGGCTGGCCTCGAACTCAATGGGATTCTCCTGCCTCAGCCTTTTGAATGCTAGGATTACAGGCGTGTGCCACTATGCCCATCTTCATTTTCTATTCTTAATTCCTCCTTCTGACTCCATTCTTTGACTTCCTGAGACATGACCCAAATCATGCCACTACAGGAGGACCCTGCCTGATGACATTCCCACTACACCTTGCCTTCTCCAGCCAGAGCGTGCATAGCAAACTGTGATTAGACTTTTAAAGATGAAGCTGTCGGATTAAAACAGTCTGAACAGGCCCCACTGGAAAGGAACTTTATAGAGTCCTCCTGACCCTTAGGGATTCCTATAACGGTAACAACCAGGCCACAGAAGTACATAAACATGAAAAAAAGACAAATCTAGGAACGGATGAATGGGAGAAAGGTTCCAACAGCCTGAGATGAGTCCAGGTAGGCAAGGGAGCCTCAGTAAAGCCTCCAGACCAGGCAGCCCCGACTTCCACTGGCCCCGCCAGAGCTCCCCAGGGCCCCAGACCCCCACTCCAGAGCGGGAGACCCCGGCCGGGTCTGCACCAGTGCCAGGCCGGGGCACACGTGGGCCTGGCCCAGCGGACCGGGGTTCAGACGCCCCCCACCCCCGGCACCTCCTCGCGCTCCCGAGCATCCCAGACCCGCCAGGAAGTCGTGCGTGCACTTACGTGGCCAAGCTTGTCGGGGCGATGGATTCCTCCGAGACACTCGCCTGACCTGCGTGTCACAGGGGTGCCCCAAAGCAGCACTCCATCAACGGAGCTCCCCTCGCGCCAGCCCCTCTAGCAGCAGCGAATTGTGTTTCCGTACCGGGCAGGAAGTGCTCCCTGGGTGACAGGAAGTCCCGTCTCCCGGTCCGACCGCGCAAGCGTCCTCTACCGCAACCTACCGAGCGGAAGTGGAACGGCAGTAGAAATACGTTCCCCGGGTTCTTAAAATTGGAACACCGGGGTTGACTTGGATTCGAAGCTTCTTTCTACTTTACCAATTTCCTATCTCACAGAGTGGTTTTGAGGACTAAGTTAATTCACTCAACAAACGCTGAGCATCTACTATACGGGAGGCACTGTATTAGTCTCACGTACTCTCTTGATTGTTCTTAAATCCTAAGGAGCTGGTTTTACAAATAAAGGCACAAATGTCCTTGGATGTAAGATCCAAGGGATGCCCAGGTGGGGCAGCTTTAGGCAGTGGTTCAAAAACTCTAGCGCACATCAACAGCCCTGTGGGTGGGGCAGGTCATGTTTAAACTCAGGGTCAGATTGAGGCTGGGCCACTCCCCCCACACACTGGGATTAGAGTTAAGGCCTCCTATGTGCTATGCAAATGCTCATGATTCTCCACCTTCTGCTTCTGGAGGAGCTGGGACTTAGAGGTGTGCCCCACCGTGTCCAGGACGAGGGCCATGCTTTATGAAGCATTGTGGCTGTCATAATCACAAATCTTACCATTGTCCTAGCCCAGGAGCTCTCTAACTTGTGTGCACCTGAGTCAATGGGAGGGCTTGTTAGGACAGTTTGCTGAGCCCCACGGCAGAGTTTTTGATTCAGTAAGTCTGGGATGTGGCTCAATTATTTGCATTTTTAACAAGTTCCCAGGTGAAACTGATGCTGCAGAGCCTACACTTTGAGAAGCACTGCTTTAGAGAATCAATCTGCAGATTCTCAGCTTCTGTCTCTGTATAATTTCTATTGGGGATGTGTTTGGAATCTGATGATCCTTTCCCATCTTCCCTCTCCCAGTTACTCTCTTCCCACTGTGGAGTCTTGGCCTCGGACAGTGCTGAACAAGAGCGTGATGCTAAAGAGTAGACCTCATATGAGAGAGAACCCCTGTAAGACTAAGTAAAGCAAGTTCACTGAGAAAAAACTAGAAGGGTGCAGGAGGGGTATTTTGGGGGTTGACTATTGTTTCTTCAACAGAGTGCCGGATACATGGTTGTGTGCTGCGTGTGAAAATTCAGTGAATGACCTGTACACGGAGATATGTTATACTTGCATTAAAAGTCTTTTCAAGAGAGAAAAGAAAAGAAGAAAATACTACTGGCCCTGATGCCTCCTCCCATCAAGACTTTGAATTCTTTGTTAGGCTATGGATTTTTAGCCACTACCTTAGAATTGAGAAGTCTCCCTATCAGGGCAGGAAGTCTGTCTGGAGAGGTCCCTATTGTAGCCTAACAACTAGAAGAGCAAATCCTCTTTAAATATTGAATCAGTGAAAGAGGGAATGAAATGAAGTGGTTTTCCTGGGAAAATGTCAACATATTTGTTTAAAGTGAAAGGTGAAGTCAGACTTTCTGAGAAGAAGTAGATCTGATTTAGCTGATTAGTTTGACTCAGGGTGAGCTTTGCCATTCAGTTATCTGGGGCTGCATTTTTCATAGATGGAAGAGCTAAGATGGCATCTCCATGGTTTGGATAAAAATGTATTTAAAGGATGATTGTAACACAGAAGTCAGAAATGACATCTTTGTAACTATTTATACTTGTGATGAAAGAACCAGGGTCCAAAAAAAAAAAAAAAGAATCAGGGTCCACAGGGTTTCACAATTATTTTACGGTGTATGTGTGCAGAACCGGAGGGACACTTAAACCAGCTTCCTGTAGCTGCTGTAACAAGTTACCACAAATCTAATGGCTTAAGACAACACAAGATCTTACACCTCTGTAGGTCAGATGTTTAACATAGGTAACCCTGGGCTCAAGTTAAGGTGTCAGCAGGGCTGTGCCGCCTCTGGAAGCACTAAGGGGAGAATTCATTGCTTTTTTTTTCCAGTTCCTGGAAGCTGTCTGCATTCCTTGGCTCAGGCCTCCTTCCCTCTTCAAAGCCAGCACCGGTCAGTCACGTCTTCCTCACGACGCCATCTCTGTGGCTGTCACTCTTCCCTATTCAAGGACCCTTATGATTACATTGGATCCACCCAGATAATCCCATACCCTCTTGGTTATGGCTTGTATCGAGACGCCCCCACCCCCGCCCCGCCCGAAGCCTCATACACTCCTAGGTGGAGCTTTGGGAGAGCAAGTTTTTGGTTAGCATGCACTTCTTTTTAGCTTAAGAAAGGCCTGAGGTGACGTTTTGAAATGTGGATGCTAATAATTTGGTGGACTGTTTCAGGGTGCACAGTCGCCTTTAGTGGACAAGGACCCCGTCTCAGGAGGTGAAGTGGCTAGGAAGGACGTTTGAAGCTGTGCTGGGGCAGGAGCCCGGGTGTGAAGGTCACGGAGCGTCGTCTCTGTTCTTCCTTTGTCCACCCACAGTTGAAGACGTTGGTGTATAACCCCTCCACCCTGCTCCCACAGCCCCGCCCCGCAGTGGGAAGTTGGCTGAGGGGGGGGCTGCTTGACCCCCTCTCGGCCCCGCCCCCTCCCGCACTTTGGCCTTCCCATTGGCCAGTCGTACTATCCCCACCCCCGCTCTGTGCACCCTCATTGGCCAGAGCTAGGCAGAGGCGGAGCTTGCTGTCTGGCATGTGCTGGCCGCGCGGGAGCGGCCAGCGTGTAAAAACCCCAGGGTGGCGGTGATCAGGTCTACTGCAGTTAGCGGCCCTCGCTTCCAGCAATGGCTTCGCAGGCCTGCGCGGCTCCCGGCGCCGAGGACTGTGGCCGCAGGAAGCCCCGCCTGGCAGCATCTCTGCAGATCAACCCTGCGCCCAGCACCTGGCGGCCCTCGGCCAACCCGGATCCCGACGCCTGGGGACCCCTGCCCGGTCCCGAGGCAGAGGGCGACGCGCAGCGGCCCCAGGCCTCCGCTGTGGCAGCGGGGGACTGTGGGCCCAGGGCCGGGGCCGAGGGCAGTGGGGAGCACGGGGACGCACAGGCTGGGGAGGACTCGGGAGGCTGGCTGGGGATGGCCCCGAGGGCGTCCGTGCCACCCACAGGGCCCGCAGGGGACCTCCCAAAGGTGGCCAGACAACTGAGACTGCCACCCGCGGACCCGCCACCCGGCCAGGCCGTGGCCTTGCTGGCACAGTACGCAGCAGGGCTGGGCGCCGCCCTGACCTTCCGTGAGGACCCGGCAGCAGGTGAGGTGGGGACAGGGATGGGGAAGGGAGGGGCAACATCTCCAGCTGGGGTCCAGGGCCCTTGGGTGACCTGCTGGCTCCAGGGGCCACAAGAGAGGGATGGGGAGCTTGGCTTGAGCCTGGGACCTCCAGGAAGACCCTGGGGTCACAGGGCCCACCAGACATCTTTCAGGGTCAGATGTGGCTGGAAACTAGGTGAACATTATCTCCACCCAATCCTTTTTTCTTAAGACTCAGGATCTTGCTATATAGTTTAGGGTGGCTTTGAATTCATTTTGTAGCCTTGGCTGGTCTCAAACTTGCATGGATCCTCCTGCCTCAGCCTCTTGAGTGGTGGGCTTATAGGTGTCCAACAGCTAACATCTGCACACTGTTTTATTTATTTATGTATTTATTTATTTTTTTGGTTCTGGGAATCAAACTCACGACCTTGCGCTTGCCAGGCAGGCGCTGTGCCATTGAGCTAAATCCCCAGGCCCCTGCACACTGTTTTAAAGGTCCAGCGATATGCAATTACCATTGCCACACCAGTATAGGGGATTCCTCAATGAGGCCTGACCTACAGATATTCCAAACAATTTGGTAAGGGCAATACTATACTGTACACACAGCGCAGGTATAATCATGATCAGTCCTCTTCTCTTCTTGAATACACCCTCCAGCCCTCCAACTCCAAGTTCCAGTGTGCAAGTTAATTTCAGACACCATGCTCCTTACCATGAGACATGTTAGTGCATGTTTCTTATGGACATGCTACAGAACTTAGTACAAAGATCAACTGATGGGAGTTTAATAAATGCGACTCATGTTGCCACCCATATACACTCCTTCTATTTCCCTTTCTCTTGTTTTCCTTTCCCTGTTGTCACTGTTTTGCAGTACTGAGGATTGATCCCTGGGCCTTCACACTGAGCTCCATGCCCAGCCTTTTTAAAATTTTATTTGAGACAGCCTCTTGCTAAGTCACTAAGTTGTCCGGGCTGGGCTCAGATTTATGATCCTCCTGCTTCAGCCTCTCAGAGTGCTGGGATTCCAGGTTTGTGCCACCATACCCAGTGTCATGTTCACATTTTGCCTGTTTGTCCCAGCAATGCCCTTGTGGCCACGTCACCCCTTTCGCAGTACGACATAATACGCTTGGCCATCACGCTTCTTGAATCTTTTTATCTAAGGCAGTTGTTCCCGCTTTTGTTTTGCATGATCTTGATTTTGTAATTTTAATTTTTAATAGTGCTATGTGTTTGCAGTACATAACGACTGCTCCATCCATCATGGGGAGCTGATACATGTGCATAACACACCTTAATTCTTTTTACCTCCTCTTTCCCTGCCCTGCCCTCCATCTCCCCTTCCTCCATCTCTCGGTGACCTTGACCTTGATGTTGTTTGAAGCATAATGGCCAGTGGTCTTGTTGACTGTCTTTCAGCTTGGATGTCTGTTTTCTTAGGATCAGCCCAGTCTGTGCAGTGTAAGGGTGACATCACATCCTCAGCAGCTCGCCCAGCAGGGGTCTCGTGCCCTCAGTGCATCCTTCACATGGCAGTGTCAGTCATGAGGGTGGGGTGGCATCTGCCAGGTGCCTTTGCTTTCCTGTTTGTGCTTAATAAGTCATCTGAAGGGAAGCATCTGGAGCCGTGTAAATATCCTGTCCCCTAGCACAGTTTCTGTGTGGTTTTAGCATCCAGACACAATCATGCTGCTTCGGTGGCTGTCACACGGTGGTTTTCTAGTGACAACATTCTTTCTGCGTTCATCTGTGCTGTACTTGCTGTTTTTGACACCTTGTGGGTTGGTGCATCTCAGTACCAAGCAAGGGTGCCGAGGTGGGTCCCCTTCCTAAGGCCAGGCCCCTGGAGGGACAGTTTAGCAGCAAGTACTATGAGCTGATAAAAGGTCTTGCCCTTTGACCAGGTGACCCCAGTTCTAGGATTTTCATCTGTCTTTGTCCTGTTATAAGCAATACATGAAATGATGGTGTTGGAGAGAAAAATCGTCCCAATTTGGGATCCCCAAGGAGAAAAAAAAGAAAAGGATGTGCCTGGCATCAGGCAACAAGCCATCTGGGTGCTCAGGGGCTCTGGTCCTGAGACAGGCGCCGCATAGGCTCCTGAGGTGGACCTGGATTTGGATCCTAGCCCCGCCTGAGGCAAACTGCTTGCCTTCCTGTACCTCTCTGTACAGTGGAGTCACAGTGGCTGCTGCCCACAGCGTCCCCAGTGAGGGAGGGTTGGTCCTTATTGGGTTGTCCTGAGGTAGGTGTCAGGAAGTAGCCTAGGCATAAGTGGCCATGGGTCCCTTGGGGCTGGGCATGGCTGCCCCTCCTAAAAGGGCTCTTCCCTCACACCTTCCTTCCCCAGGTCCTGGCTCCCCCTTCTCTATGTGCGCAGAGCTGGATGGGGTGGTGTGCCCTGCAGGTACAGCAAACTCTAAAGCAGAGGCCAAACAGCAGGCGGCACTCTCTGCCCTGTGCTACATCCGGAGCCAGCTGGAGAGCCCAGGTGACCCAGCCACTGGGCAGGAGGCACAAGGTCTCAGAGGGAGGCTGAAATGGCCCTGGGCTGTGTGTAGGGGGCAGGAGGCTACCAGGACCACACCCAGCATCCATGGCTGGGGAAATGGGCTGACTCCTGAGGTGGGGTCCTCAGAATCCCACCCACAGGGGGGCCAGCACCACAAGTGAATAGAGCAGCTTGGGGATCTTTCTGTCTGGAAGCTGGCAGCTTACCTCCTCTTCTCCTTGGCTTCCTGAAGGACGGAAGGTCAACCCAGCACCCATGACAACCAGCTCCCCTTGCCTCTCTTTCAGAGACCCCTGAGACCCCCCACCAGCCCGCACTCACCCCAAGCATAGGTAGGTTGGTTCTTGGCCCAAGCCCTGGATGCGGGGCAGCAGGCAAGACCTGTGGGCCCCACCGCTGCCCTCTGGCCCTTGTGCAGAGAACATCCTGCCCCACGAGCAGCGCTGCGCTGCTGTGGTCAGTGCCGGCTTGGACCGTCTGCTGGGCGAGGACTCGCCCTACTGGGCCTGCATGGGGACAGTGGCTGCGGTCGTCCTGGAGCGCGGTAGGGCTCTCCCTGTCCCCTGCTCCACCTTGGCAGGCCCCACTGGGCCCCCTGCTCTGGGCTGAGCCTGCTCTCCTCCCTGCACAGAGGTCCCGGGTGCCAAGGGCCCCACCAAGGAGATCTATCAGTTGGTGGCGCTGGGAACGGGCAGTGGCACCTGTGCCAGCTGGCTGGAGTTCTCAGGCCGGCAGCTGCACGACTGTCATGGTCTGGTCATTGCCCGCCGGGCCCTGATGAGGTGAGGGCAGGTGGGGAGGACTCTGCTGCAGCCCCAGTGGGACAGTGGTCCCAGCTGGCCCTCTGCCTGTCTGTCACTCCAGGTTCTTCTTCCGGCAGCTGCTGCTGGCTACAAAGGGGGGCCCCAAGGGCAAGGAACAGTCTGTGTTGGTCCCCCAGCCTGGGCCTGGCCCCCCCTTTGCCCTCAAGCCCCGGATTTTCCTGCACCTCTACGTCAGCAACACCCCCAAAGGAGCGGCCCACGACATCTAGTATGTGGAGTCCCCAAGGCTGGGGGTCCCCCTGCTTGACTGTCTGAGAAACCATGGTCAGAATATGCTCTGTCCCCTCTGCAGCCTCCCGCTGTCCTCGGAAGATGGCCTTCTGCTCAGCTCCTCCTTCCGCCTGCAGGCTCACATCTGCGGGCAGTTGAAGCCGGTGTCCTATGTGGCACACACGCTTCGCGACACCCATGTGGGCTGCCTGTCAGTCAGCGACAAGCTGGCACGCTGGGCGGTGCTGGGGCTGGGTGGTGCCCTGCTGGCCCACTTCCTGCCGCCGCTCTATGCAACCAGCCTCATTCTGGGTGAGGGGCAGGCAGCGCACCAGGGCAGAGCGGGCCCTAGGGGTTTGGGGGTGGTGCTGACTGTGTCCTGCACCTCTGTCCCCAGCTGACACCTGCCACGACCCTCCAACTCTAAGCAGGGCCATTCACAACCGGCCCAACCTAGACAGCACCTTGGGGTCGTGCCTGCCGCCTCCCTACGTCCGCACCACCCTGCACCTGTTTTCAGGGCCCTCTGTGGCCCCCTCCAGCCCTGACCCCAATACCTGCCACGACCTCAGCCTTAACTGGAGCCTGGGGGACCCCGACGTGGAAGTTGTGGATGTGGCCAGTGGTCGCGTGAAGGCTGAGTGAGAAGGGCCCCGTGGAGCTGTGTTGAGGGAGCCCTGGGGTGCGGGGTGCCCTTTTCCTGCCTGGGGAAGGGGTGAGGGCATGCGTAGCTCTCGCCTTGGCTCAGCCCCACCCAGATGGTGGCAGGGCCAGCACCTTGTGACCTGCCAGTGCCGTCACATGATGAGTGTGAAGAGTGGGCCAGACCCGCTGCTGTGCTCTCCTTCACCTCACATGTCTCTCTCAGGGCCGCCCCTGGGCCTCCTTCCCGCCTTTGCAAGGCCGCCTTCCTTCGGGCCTTCCGCCAGACCGCCACTGCTCTGGGCAAGCCCCACCTCCTGGCCCTGAAGACCTATGAGGCTGCCAAGGTGGGCCCTCCCCGTGCCCCTTGCCCCAGGCTTCCTATGCCCCCACAAACACCCTCTCACCTCTCCTGCCCTCTCTCCACCTAGGCTGGGCCCTACCAGGAGGCTCGCCAGCAGCTGTCTCTCCTCCTGGACCGGCAAGGCCTGGGTTCTTGGCCCTCCAAGCCGCTGGTGGGCAAATTCAGGAGCTGAGATCCTTGAAGAGCCATATCCCCGGGGAGGGCCCTTTGGGAGCAGGGAGGGCATGGGGGTATGCGGGATGAACTGGGGCAAGCCCGCGGTGGGGGTTGGGGGATGCTGCCCATTTGGGCTTGAATAAAGAAGTGGTTTGTGGGGTTTCTCGGGGTGTGTGTGTGTGTGTGTTGGGGGTAGCCAGAGGCCAGCTGGTTTGGCAGGAGAGCCTTTCACTCCTCTTTGAGAACCCTGTGTCTGCTGGGCTCTCACCTGGGTCTGCCGCTCACACAGTCACAGCGTTGTCGCAGGCACCGGCGGCTTGGAGGAAGCTGGTTCCCCTGCCCTTGGCCTGTGTGCGGGGGGCCGTGGTGGGGCCCTGGCTGCTGCCGGCCGCATAGATGCAGGGCCACTTGCTGTGGAGGTTCCAATTCCTTCCTTTCCAGGGCTTGGATGAGGGCAGCAGCCAGGGCCACAGAGGCCCCTTGTGGCTTACTGAGGAAGCACTGTGGGTCTGAGCAGCCCCGGGCTGAAGGGTGCAGGCTGGGCAGTGGCCTCGGCAGGTCTTGCTATAGACTACCCAGCTGTGGGAACTGGGAAAGTCCTTGGCTTCCAGAGCCTGCTTGCTCCCCTCCGGGGAGGGACAGTGCTGCTCCAGCTCCAGCTGTGTACTTCTTCCTCCCTGCCCTGTGGGGCCTGGCAAGCCAGCAAGGTGCTGGGCAGGGTGCAGCCCTAGCGAGGGAGAGAAGAGGGTGCCTAGTGTAGGTGCGTGTGCGCACAGTTCGGCAAGCCCGTAACCCTGCCGCTGGAGCACAGTCCCTGGCCCTGGCCCTGGGGGTAGTTGAAAACCATGGCCAGCCCCAAGCCCCAGCTTTACAGTCTAAGGCTTCCTGATCCCCAGCAGTTTCAGCGTTCCGAAGCATATGGTACGGTCTGAGACGGCCTGGGAAAGTTGGCTGAGGCTGGCGTGGGGACTAATACCACGGGTCAGCATGGCTAAGCCGAGGGCTGCTCGCAGCGCTTCACATCCAGGTGGGCCTAGGAGGGTTTCTGGGAGACAGCAGCATGTGCATGGGCAGACAGGGTGAGGAAGACAGCCGTCCCCAATGCCACCAACACCATGAGACCCACCGAGAGCTGGAATAGAACAAAAGGCTGAGGAAATCTTGGCCCATCTCTGTTGCTGGGGTATCTATCTACTCCTGGCCCTAGACATCAGTTCCTGGTACTTGGGTCTTCAGACTGGAACCAGAACACTGACCACTGGCACCTGGGGCCTCAGGCCTTTGGGTTAGGGCTAAGATGATATGACCAGCCTGTTCAGCCCACAAGGCATGGGGCTCCTCAGCCTCCACAATGGCGTGAGCTGGTCCCTCATAATAAATCTTTCTGTGAATCTCTGTGCATCTTACTGGTTTTGTTTCTGTAGAGAACCTTAACTAAGATAGACAGCTCCCTCAGAGCTGTCAGGTGAGTGTTCTGGTTCCAGTCTGGTTCCAGTTCTGGTCAGGCCTGATGTGGAGCCCAGGGTTGGGTCCCCTCCCTCCAGCCTGTCCCTGCCACTGGCTGTGGCCAGCCACTTAGCCTCCAGGCACATGGTGGACTCATCTAGAGAAACATGGTGCCTGTGTATCCACAGGTCCTGTGTCCACAGAATCAACCAAAAGCTACACTGGAAATACTCAGAAAAAGTGTATTGGTATGAACTGCATGTATACAGACTTTTTCCTGTCAGTACAGTATGCTAACTATACTTGAGTAATTTTGGGATGATGTAAAGTATTTGAGAATGGCTAGGGTATATAGCTCAGTGACAGCATTTGCTTAGAGTGTGTAAGAGCCTAGTTCCACCCCCAGCACATCAACACAACAACAAAAATACAGGAAAACCAGGAGGATGTGCAGGAGCTATTGGAACACAGCAACATTTTATGTAAGGCACTTGAAATCCTCAGGCTTTGGTATTCTCCAGGGTCTTAGGCCCCATCCTTGGTGGCACTGGGAGAGGCCGAATCCGAGGCCCCTTCTGGCAGCACTGCAGTCGCTGCCATGTGGGTTGTATCTGTTAGCTTTCCCATTGCTGGTACAAAATACCAGACACCCATACCTTGGAGCGGGAGCGGTTTCACTAGGCTCACAGTTTTAGGGGGTCTCAGTCCATGGTTGGCTGGTTCCACAGCAGGACTGTCATGGCGGAAGGGTGTGGTAAAGGAAATTTGTTCACCCAATGGCAGCTGGAAAACAGCACGGCAAAAGCCCCAGCGAGAGCTTTACCTTCTCAGGCCCAGGGCCCTCCACAGGCTGTTCAGTAAAACCTCCCCGCACTCACATGACAGGTGTGACCACAGCCCTGTTGTACAGGTGAGGAAACTGCAGGGTGAGGCTGGGACCCTTCTCGAAGTACACACATACCCCAGCTGTCTGATGTCTGAACCCCCTGCTCCCCTGCCTCTGTCACTGCCTGGGCTGCTGTTGGATTCCCTTGGATGACCTTTGACATAACTCTACTTCTTTGACCCCCAGTTTACTGATTTATAAAAAGACCAGACGATGTCATTGCTGAGGTCCCTTCCTGGCTTAGCCACTCTCTGCTCTGCCTTTTCTTGAAGGTCACAGGAGGCCAGGAAGAGGCCAGCTGCCACCCAGGGAAGGAGCTGCAGGCTTTCTGGCTGGGGAGGTGACAATGGAGCTAGAACCCCCTCAGTGGGCTGAGAAGATGGGAGGGTGAGAGAGGAGTTGAGCAAGAGGAGCCACCAAGGAGGAGGGACAAGTGTTCAAGGCCACCAGGGGAAGAGTGGGCAAGCCCCCTGCCAAGGGAGAGACAAGCAGGAGGGATCTTCAAACCAGCTTTAGGTATTGTTTCTTAAAAATCAGGCCAACTTTGTAATAATTATTTTCTATGGTCATAATTCTTCAGGGTTTTTGGAATACTCAAGCCTATCCATTAGCCTATTTGTTACTCATTGTTTACGCCGGGAGATCATTTAATTTGATTGATTATCCGTACTGCAATGGTGAAGAAATACACCAGCCATCCAGACTTCAGTTTCCCGCACTGAGCTTTGTGGTGTCCATCAATCACATAGTTGCTGAGTAAACAAGTTCTCGGAGATGACATTAACTCTGCCCTGCCAAATAAGTACGGTGTGTCCCCAGGCTGCAGATGTGTGCCTGTCCAATCCTTTCCTCCCCAGACAGCCTTTGCATTGCACAGCATTTGCTTGTTCCTTTGACTCAGCTTCCGTATTGCAGCAGGGTGATGATGAACACCACTTTTGCAGTGGAGAGCCTGTTAATGTCTTCTTGGCCTAATCCCCTCCGGGTGACGTTTTGCCAACAGTAGCATCTTTAAATTGGGAGGAGATGTGACCTCGCTTGGCAATCAGGAGCACTGTTTCCTTGGCTGCCTCCCTGCCCCCACCCTTCCTTCTCTGTGGCCTGGGGCTCTGGAGTCTTGGCTGGATCCTGGACAGCCTTTATACTTTACTGTCCCTGGTGTTGCCGACCGGAAGGGCAGACCTGGGAGGCCAAGGGGCCGCTCACCTCGGTTTCTCCATCCAGCAAGTGAGTGACAGCTGTTTACAAATACGCAGGCTGCAGGGTCATGGTGACATTCAGTGCGAAGTGGGCTAGATCTGTTGCTGGCTCCCAAAAGCCCGCAGGCAGCAGCTATCATTGGATCTATCTGCCATCAGCCCCACGGTGGGACTGTTGCCTGCTTCTCTCCATCCCCTCTTGTGAGGACCCCACAGAGTGCCCAACAGACGAGCACTGAGTGGAAATTAGCACATAAGAGCCTCCCTTTACAGAAGGGGTCAAGAGAGAGTAGAACCTATTCTAGATTAACAGGACTGTGAAGGCCCTTTGAACAGATCCCTCCCACAGAAGCAGTCAATAAGGACCTTCTGAGAAGAGTGCAGAGAAGAGGGTCTGAAGAATTATCATCTTGCTCCATGGTTTAGGAAATTAGCACTTAAAAACATAAAATATGGTTTTAAAGAATATTTTCATGGGTATCTTCATGGAGACAATGGGGATAGGCCCTTCCTTACACACCATGCACAAATCAGCCCAGCTCAGGTCATTAAAGCCCAGGCTGCACGCTGCTTCTCTGCCCTCTACCATGTGCTCTCTCAACCCCCATCCCACCACACTGCCCAGTCGGCACTACTGACTCCTTCACCCTCGCCCCTCACACTTGCTCTGCAAAGTGGCAAGAACAACATAGTCCGAGTCCATGTTCCTCTGTCTCTGTCAGACCTCTCCCAGGTCAGCCAGCATCCGAGCTCTTTCTCTTCAGACTCTTAAAACCCCAGTGTGTCTCCAACTCAACCAAAGTGAACTTTAAACCCCTTGGTTGGAGACTGACCTTCCCTCCAGGAGGTTAAATTAACAAAGCTTTCAACAACTGTTTGCCTTTAACAGGGGGCAACAGCTAACAAAAAGCAATTTACCCTTGTGCTTTATATATGCTAAGACTGATATAACTGATCTTCTCTTTTAGGTGTTCAACAACTAAAGTATAGAGACCAGAAGTAGACAGATAACTGGGCTAAAAAACAGCTGGTATTTTGGCCCTGACCCTCCAAGGTCAGTAGACACCCAGGACGTGAGAGAACCTTTTCTATAGGATCTTAAACTTTGGTGAATCCCCCAGTCTCCTGAGCAGGGAGACTGCTGAACCCCAGGAGATAGAGATCAACAAATGTATGGTGTTCCAAAGGAGGGTCAACAAGAGAGAAAAATCTCACACAGTTGCACAGAAGGTGACATGGTCAACCAAGACTGACCCGTCCTGGCAGCTGACACTGTCAGAGGAGCTGAGAATCTCTGTTTAGGGTTCCAAAAGTAATGCCTAAACAGGCTTACCTTGATAGGCAGCAAGAGGTCAATTTTGATTAAGACAGGTCTCATTTTAACTTGGTCTCAAATACCCAGCAGAAAAGTATAATCAAAAGAGATAAGTAAACTTTTGTCATCTGTCTATGTGCCCTCCATACTTTTCCAAGCTCTGACCAGAATCTCCCATACAGAACAACCTAAGGTGTTCCAGCTCTACTTTTTTCAGGCGACATCTCTGAACCTTTCCAAATTCTTCCCAGAAGCCATTTCCAAAGGCTCTTGAACCACATGGTCAGATACAGTCAGAGCAATGACCCCACTTCTC